GGAAATCACCTTGGATCAACATTCAATGGGGTATATACTTACCCCTATCTATTCATTAAGACTTCTTGACTTCACTAATGCCAGATACCCCTCTCCATAAAAAGACAGGGCCAGCTCCAATGATTAGCCTGGCATTCAACACTTATTTGTTGGCATAAACATAATAGATTAAGATGTTGGAAATTAAGCACTGTTTACACTGAGGTAGCACATGTTAATATCACCACCTGACCTAACAGAGGTAGCTAGGATGAACTCTACCATAATCACCCACTCCTAAATGGACTATTCATATAGAAAGCAGATGAACAGCTCGACAACACATTCTGGAGAGACTGCTGGTTCCACCACGTAGGCTTTCCCTGGAGTCTGTATAGTGAGGAGAGAAAGCAGCTGGAGAGAACACCACCTCTGGGTGAGGGCCCCAGCTATCCAGGGCGCCTGCCATCTACCCAGTCACCAGCATAACAGTGATTCACAAAGCACACATACATCAAATTATTTATGCAAAACACTGCATTCAGGAAAGAAAATGAAGTGTCAAAGGTAAACCTAATCATTTTCCAACTTTTCTGAAATAACCACCAAAACACAGCATGAATTAAGAGAACCAAATGTGCCTCACACACACATACATGTCGGGTTCTAGGAAAACATGCAGATCAATCATAACCATTACAACACACTTTTCTCACTTGCCAGTAGGATTGAGTAATAAGTCCATTTTCCACTTCAATTTCACAAAGTAAATTTCCGGAAGCAGATAAAGATATTCCTATCCCAGTCACAGAATTCTGTATAACAAGCTTCTGGGCACACAGCATACCAAGGAAGAGGCAGGGAATTAAGCAGAGTTGATTTTCCCAAAGCAGCAGCAATTTTCCAGGCATAAGATGGATGTTTGTTGAGAAAAGTGGGGAAGACAGTCTACAGACAGTGAAGCCTTTCCACAGCTGGTCGCTATGTCCCCAGTTATGCCAGATTCCCAGAAGTACTTCTCTGTGGAATCTTTGGAGGTCTCTCATGCAGATTTCAACTACTTCATCTGTGAGATGTCAGTGACAAACGCTGTTTCACGGAGCCAGTATGAGGACTGCTACAGACACAGTCCTCAAGCACCTAGGTGTCTACCACATCACGTCCTCACTACATGATGGTTAATTTCAGGTTACTGCTTCTTCAGATACCAGAGCCTGAATTACATCTTCAGGCATAGTAATCAGCTCTTCATGGTCATCAGCACTGACTTGGAGGCAGGAGATACACATAGAGATCAAAGTGTTCTGGTTAAAGATGAGGGATGGGCATTGTGGGAGTGAGATGCACCAAGGGAGACTCAGAGCCTAAAAGAACTTGAGGCTGCGTTCAAGATGGCTGGTGCCATGTGCAAGCAAGAACCCACTGAAACAAGCACTGTGGAGAGGGCAAGATGTGAGGGCATTAGACTCAGAGGAAGGAATGGAATCCCACCACACAATCTGACTGCAATGGGAGCAGCCACCTTATCCTAAAAGAAATGAAGCTTCGAGGTTTTAGAATTTAGAATCAAGTTATTGCCAATCATGGACATATTGCCAATCTTTTGACATTAAAGAACAGAATATAAGTATTACCAGTTCTGAGCATATAAAATTAAAGGTACAGCTGCTCAAAATGGAGAGGTTGGAGGGAAGTGGGTGGTAGACAAGAAATTGTGTCTCTAGGAGACAGAACAAGAATGGAGGAGGCTGCATGTGTCATCTGAGGGTGCAGGGGGTGCAGCAGCAGGATGAAAGTACGAATCAGCTACAGGGAAGAAGGGAAATGAGGATGGTCAGATTAAGCCAATAAGTGACCGCCAGACACCAAGAAATAGCCTAAAAATCTGAAAAGTGAATACAAAATTTAAACATGTGGAAATCACCAAAAAGAAGCAAAAAAATTATTTAGAGAGAAATAAAACAGGCAGCTACTTCTAAGAAGCAAGACTAAGTGAAGGAGGTAGGGCAAGACACTTTTGACTTTTCATTATAAGCTACTCCATAGTATTTTCTATTTTTAGCCATTTGCATGCATTACACTTTGACAATTTTTTTTAATGAAAGATTCTCTATTAAGACCATTGTTTAGATCACAACTTTCTCTACTTTTACCAGGCCTTCCAGTGCTATGTTGAGACCACTGCAGTTGACCTTACAGTGTGTTTACTTTAAAGTCATGTTTAAACTCCACAAATGCACCAGTCATTTTATGGTTCTAGAAAGCTGTCCAGTTCTCATTTGTTGTAAACAAAATAGAATGGCTTTGATAATCATGTACATCTTCAAAATATGTGACTTTCCAGCTAAAAAAGAATGATTTTTAAATATGCCAGTTCCTTAGGAGAATGTTTAAAAATGCACATTCACGTACTCCAGAGTCTTTGAATCCATGAAATCTAATCAGTTTTTAAACAGTGAAGGCTCAAATCGTGACTTCTACGGGAGACTTTTAACTTCGAAAAAAAATTAACTGATGAACATAATTAGTCAAAAAGCTTAAGGAAAGAGCACATTCTCTTACACCCATGGATGAGTAAATTTAATTATGAAAAACAATCTGTAATGGTTATTGTTGCTGTTATGAAACATTTACCAAGCACAGATAACAGAATAAGGACCCCAGGACAGGCCCCGGACCCCTGACCAAAGAGATGATTTTAATTAGGACAATGCTAATCAGGACTCCCAGCCACTCAGGGAGCCTGCAGGGAGATGAGAAAATGGCAGTGCCTACAGTCAACAAGCAGAGTCATCCAAAGAATCCAGCTAATGGAGGATGGCAGGAAGACAGAAGTGCATAAATGATTACATTTTTAATGAAGAAATGTAAGCACAGAACAACTTATCTGTACTGACGTCATAGCCTTTAAGTGACTGATAGAGAATGACAAATAGCTGTGTAGATCTGGCTTTGTATTTTGTGAATTCAATACTCTCCGCCTTTACAGCAGTAGAAACTAAAATTGTCCAAAGAGCTAAAAATAATGTTATTCATGTAAAAATCGGTTTTTAAATATTTTTTTTACAAGCCTGCAGGGAAAATGGAGATAAGTTCAGAATATCGCATTTACAAGTCATTAAGTAAAACACTATACAAAATATTAAGTAAAACACATGTCCCCTCCCCCATGTATTCTTTATCAATCTCCCTCTCACATGCACACACCCCTTTAATGCATCATGTTTATTCCTGTGAAGCCTGGCTGTCTCAGATTCTTAATTGCTCATCTCTACAAGATCTCACCCAGCATGGCCTGGCTTTCTGTAAGGCTCAGAATGATTGATTGATTACATTGTTCATTCATTAAATTTTATTTAGACTTAGACCAGCCCAGATCCCTTAAAGCAATTCTCCCCCCTCTGGTTTATGTCAAAATAAAAGTTACTGCTGCTATTTATTCATGACTTAGACACTTTCGGAAATGTCAAGATTTCAGATAATCTCTCTAGTCCTATACTTTCAAGAAAATATTTCTATTGTTGCTGTCATTGTTTTCCAAATGCCAGTGTTAAGGTCAGTGCAGGCCACTCCCTGGCTAACAGTCACTGGACTACAGAAAAACAAGGAGGCAGTAGGAAATGAAGAATATTGTCATAATGCTTAATACGTACAAAACAAACACAAATTCATGTGATTCCTATTCTGAGTATTAAAATATTTCCTTTCATGAACTTGTAATACATGGTAGTTTCTTTAAAATATGTTTTTAAATTATAAAAAAAATTCTAAACAGAATAAAATAGCATAGAAATATATAGTAACCCCCCCATGCATTCACCCTCCTTTATTAGTATCAACTTTGTTCACATGTAGCCCAAAAAAATAGTAAAAATTGGTCCTACTATGGATGTTTTGGTGATGGGTATGATGTGGTAACATTTATATGAGTTGGTATGTCCCTATACCTCTGCATCACCTATAGTGTTGTAAATCAGTGCTATCTTCATTAATATAAAAAAAAAGGCAAAAAGACAAAACTTATTCCTTAATTTTTTAAAAAAGGCATTTTATTCTATTGCCTTATATAATTTGTATGGTAAGGCTTTTATTGAGAAATTTTATTTCTCTGTAGTTACATGAACTTCATTCTGTTAGTTTCTAAACTTTTAGGACAAGATGAAATTATAAGCTGAGACTTTCTTCCTTTGTTTCAATAAAGGAAGAAAACCCAAATGAGTTAAAGAATATTTTTAAAAATAAAAAAAAATGTTAATCCTAAAATCTTTTTCCCTATTTCATAAAATCTGAAGTATGGGAATGATCCATCTGGGTCAGCCATACATTTCACAGATGAGAACCTGGAAACTAACAGATAAACTGTCTTCATGTGCACAGCTGGTCAGGTAAAGAATCGTTATACATGATGTGCCTCAGTGCCACCTGTGAGGGCAGGAGCACAATAAACCAACCCTTTTTAACCTACGAGAACTCAACTGAAGCATGTCCAACATGAGCAGAAGATTGACTTTTGTCTATTCCTAGGGTATTTCATATATACTTCTTGGGGTCATGCAATCCCACCCAGGGCAATCAAGGGGGAAAACCAATGATGTGCAACCAAAGTTTACTTATCTCATGCTAGAGCAACCACAAACTGTCCCTGGAGGCCTCCAGGCAACACCAAACAGTTTCAGTTCAAAGACTACTAGAAATTCCTACATTAATTCTTTGCTCAACATATCAGTACAATACAAAGATTTAAGCAAACAGGTGTGAAAGAATGAGAAATTGTGCAGTAAGGTGATAACCAGGCTACCTATCCCCTCTTCTGGGCTCCTACCTTCACCCCACAAAACTAGAAGGCAAAATGTCAAGCAGCAGTAGGATTAGTCACACCAGGCAGCTCCTCATTAACTCAAAGAAGTGTGGTACAAATCAAAGGAGACAGTATAAGCAATGACATTTAACACTTTATTAAACTATACCAAAGGGGGTTGGGGTAATTGATAGAAATAAAATAGCTGTTTTACACGACTCACCTAAATTTTCAGTTTATGTGAAGAGTCAATTTCTCTGTGGATATCCAGAAGCATCTGAGTAGCCTTCAGCAGCAATACCTACACCAGTAATAAAAATCATTAGAATTAAGTAATTTTATAAACATCAGTTTTGCAGAAAAAAAATCTATACATTTGGTCATTTCCCTCCAAACTAAGTATGAAAGGAAATAACTCAGGAAACAATGAATTTCCGCTGCAACACGTGGGCTGGGAATTTTTCTTTACCAACAGGGAATTCAGGTCCCAAGGCACTTATTTGGAAGACCAAAATTATGTTACTGTTGGCAAAGAGGCAAAACACATTATGTTCTTCCCTGCCATAGGAATGCTTAATGGCTTTCAATTTAAACAAAGACCAAATATATACATCCTCTCCCTGCCCCCAACAATGTTTAAAAGAATACTCTCAAACAGGACACTGATTCTCTTAAAACTTAGCTCTTCTTGTTTACTTTTTCCTACTTAGTTTCTAACATGTCTGCAAAGTGGTTCCTTCTTGCTTCAACTGTTGCTGTCTCATTCCCAGTTCTCTGAAGCACTGAAAACTGACCATTTAGCACCTTCCTCCATGGAAACCCAATTTGAAGCAGAGAAATACCATAATCAATACTACAAATCAACCAAGTGGCCTAGCCACAATTAACAAACCTGAGTCTGAGTGAGACATATATATGAATCAGTCAAGCAGAATAAACATCCACATTAGGTCAGTATGAAGGAGATCTAAAGACATATACTAAAATCTTGAGAGTAATTAATAAATGGTGTTTGTTAGCTCTTTGGGGGAGGGGAAAATCTTGATCTCTCCCTCTGATTAAACTCAAAACTGAATCAAATGAGTGCCAGATTATACAGATGAATAATTTCTCTAATACAGGGTCAGCCTCTTATGACACTAAAATCTGGAACTCTGAATATTAAGGATTGAGATGCTTGACTGGCTACATTTTTTTTAAATGAATGACAAAAGCAAAACAAAAATAAAAACAAATAATAAAAAGTAATAATCTGGTCAAAATATAAAAGTAGGCAAAATATGTATGAGACATTAAAAGTTACTATTCTTATGCAAAAATGTGGGGGGGAATTAATAAGGAAATGGACAAAGAGTAAATAAATGTTCCATAAAAGAAGAAATATAATAGCAATAAACATATGAAAAGATAGTCAATGTACTAACAATGAAAACATACACTTTTAGCTAATAGAGATCTCATTTTTCACTTGCCAGATTGGTTAAAGACGTGACTGACGACAGCTAATGCCTAGGACACATGTAGCCTCTTAGGCAACTGTACATGCAAAACGGCACCTCCTTGTTCCAGCAATCCCACTACTAGGAATTTGCTCAGCGTAGATCATTGTGTAAGCGGAAAGATAGAATTGTGACACTTCTGAAGAGAAGTAAATGTCTAAAATCCCACAAATAGGGGACATGTTAAGTAAACGACATAGACACTGACATTAACAGTGGCAGTCTAAACTTAACAATGTGAAACCATAGCCGTGATGTACTTCAAAGAAAGTAAAACAAGTGAGGGACGGTGTGCAGTGTGACCCCATTTGCTCATGCATCCTTGTGGCTGTTCCTGGACATTTCCAGAGATGTCTAGAAGGATGTTTATCAAGACTTTTGATTATCCCTGATTATCAGAATTTTAGGAGAATTTTACTTCTTTTCTTACACTATTTGAATTTTAGATGAATGTGAGTTATTTTTCACAAGACTCCAATGGAGATATTTAACTGTCTGCATCTCATGCTTAAGTATGAAGTGACATACTGCATGCATTTCTACTTGTGTCAGCTTTCCTGATGTTGGTGTCACACAAGAGCTTGTAGTGAACATGGATTATTAGAAAGTTTCCCTATCATCTCTGGCTCCTGTTCATCTGTCAGGGACAACAAATCACCCTTGCCACTGAGTTCTTAGAACACACCTACATCCTTTATTATCAACCTCTTTTCACTTCAGCTTTAGTTCAAGTGAGCTAGTTACTTGTGGCCACAGTAGTCCCATATGAGATAGAGCTGCTTTTTATTTCCTACCTTCCCAACCACCCCCTTCCATTTATCAGTCCTATATTTGTTGTTTGAATGAATATTGTATGAATCCTGTAAGAAAGAAGATTTATTGTATCCAGTGTCATGTAATGTTTATGACCGACAGCTGAAGTAAAACTGAAGCCAAAAGCTCAAAACTAGTACCACAAAGGCAAAAACAAATAAGCAGAATAAGAAAACTACTTTGAGACAAATAGATTCATTCCTGACTAATAAGAAAGCTAACGAATACTATTTGAATAACGATAAAAACAAAGGTAACCTACTTGTCCAGGTGGGCCATTTCTGTGGTTAACATAGTATCCATTACAATACTTTTAACCACTCCATGTGTTTATTTTAATTGGGATATATCTATATATGAAAACTGTTTTTTTCTATTAAGTCTATAAAATACAGAACTGTATTTCCATGATGGGCCTATTAAGTTTAATTTATCTCCAGCAAACAAATTTATTCTTCTCATTGCCCTATTTTTTTAAGGTTCAGAAATTCCATGGGCTACGTGAATCCTCTTAATACCAATAATTATAAACCTGGCTAAAAAGCTGTAATCCCTTGTAGATGGACAAATCCCTTCAAAGGTATACTGGATGTAAATTATAAACCTAATTAATGCACCCCCCTCCCCTTCATCCTCTGGAGGCCTCCTCTCCCTCACCCCCAAATTTCCTTAGAAGGTAAAACAGGACAAGAGCCACTACCAATCATGTGACTTTATTTTTTTGATTTATTTATTTATGCATACTGGGATATAGGCCAGCGGTGTGGGGGATGAAAGGAGTCACCAGAGACAGAGTGGAGAGCCGAACAGGCAGATTGAAGGAACTACACTGCTGTGGGGAGCAGCAGGTGGGACAAGAGAGGTCTGCTGTGCCATGTGGGTCACTTCCCTGGTCAGGGATCAAACTCGTGCTGCAGTGGCTGTGAATAGCTTCATAGTGCTGAGGCCCAACCCCTTGCGCCACCAGGGAGGTCCCCCAATCATGTGACTTATTAAATATCTGTGTCCTCAGAGAACAATCCAGATAAACCCAAAGTCCCGTGCCAGCCACTGGCCTCTCTGTTCTGACCCTCCCCTCAGAGCAGGGGCATCATTCTCAATGGATAGAGGGGAACAAGGCAAGTCCATATTTGAGGTAGAGATACATTAGGTTTTATGAGACAAAACACTGCATTTAGGGAAGGCAATGGAACTTGATCCTGGTTCTGTAATTTACTAGTCATTTGGCCTTGGGGAGTCTTATCCTGTCATGCCTCAGTTTCCTCCTCTGTGATAATGTCCACCAAAAGGCTACTATGAGAATAAAGGCCATAACACACCCTCGCTAGTCATCAGTGCTCAGTATTTAAACATGGTTGTGTTTGAGCTCCAGGTCAGTGGGAGCCACCCCCTCCCCCCCCCCCCAATTGTAGAACTCAGTATTTGCTGCCTGGTTCTAACAACACCCCTAGGGAATAGACTGTGCTGCTCTATATAGGACAATTGTCTACTTAAAATATTTATTTTTAACATGGATAATATACTTTCAACTCAATAGAAACTTGGTTTAAAGGTACCTGGATCTAATTATTTAAAAGACGTTCACTTTAAAGTAGCCTTTTCTAGATTATCATGTGATAAATCATTTGGCAGTACCTACCGTGTACCTTTTCTGGAATATTTGGAAAAATAGAAGTCTATGTGACAAAAAGGCAGGAAAAGCGACAAGTTAAAATGTCTGTTACCAGGCCTCCCTGGTGGTGCAAGGGGTTAAGCACCGTACTATGAAGCAGTCCACAGCCTCTGCAGCATGAGTTCGATGCCCAGCCAGCCAGAGAGAAATCCACATGGCGCAGCAGACCTCTCCTGTCTCGCTCGCTGCTCCCCTCAGCAGTGTGTATCAGTCAGTCTGCCTGTTCTGCTCCCCTCTCTGTCTCTGGTGAATCCTCTCATCCCCCGCATCTCTGGCCTGTACCCCAGCTCTTACATGCCTAAATAAATTTTTTTTAAGTTTAAAAAAAATTTAAAATAAAAATAAAATATCTGTCACCAATAGTAGGTCATTAGGGCTGGACTTCACTGCCTTCCCATCCCATCCTGGGTCATTTCCTTCATGTTTGGTAAGCTTAAACACCTCTGAGTCCAAAGGTACGCATCACCGAAGCAGAGCAGGTAATACTTAGTTATTCCAGAAGCTGTGGAATTGAGAGAGTCCAGGGTTCTTAACATGGTGCCTGAACTTAGAAAGTATTCAGCTGTACATCGTTGTAACAGCAATAAAGAAAGCAAAATACAGATTAAGTAATCGGAGACCATAAAGGCACTGTGAAGGTTTTACCGACTCTTGCTTTCACATTTTACTTGGCATGTTCCTGCAGGACCACAGGGCCAAGATGAAGATGTGAGGAGCCAAGGTGATCTCAACCTAGAAAGGATGTGCACCACTCTTAGGGCTGAAGCTACATTATGTGGTATAGATCTCACATGGCCAAAAACACATTTGTCCTCAGACTGCATTAATAGGCAGGCCACACTTAACAATTAACATGGCAACACCACACTCAAGCTTTGCCCTAATACTATCTGTACAGGCCTAAAAATAGGGCCACCATCCCAAGTTCTTTGTTGCCCAAAGTTAACAAAAGTGCTTTTATATAGTAAGACCAAGCACAGCAGGGAACATCTACAAAATTTCACTGAAGATGAGCAGAATACACTATTCCCAGCTTGAAGTTAATGCTACATATATTTATTATTAATTTCTTGAAATCGTAAAAGCCTAAAAGCAAGGAAGTAAACCAAATAGTTCTAGAGACATGAAGAGCCAAAGAGACAAAAGAGGAGAAATTTTGAAAAAAATTTTCCCAACTTCTTCCAACTTCTACTACTTGCCAAGGATTTGTCTCATTTGTTTTTTCTGAAATCTTTAGAACTTTTTCATTGAAAGTACAGCCCAGTGATTAGTTTCTAGCTCTGCTGGATCAGAGATATCTGGGTTTCCCTTGCTAAT